TGGAAAGGAATATTAAACAGCGACATGCATCAACTAATACATTATTACAGATATAAACATGAAGTCCAGTCTAGAATAACGAAATTCAGCAGTGGAAAGGAATATTAAACAGCGACATGCATCAACTAATACATTATTACAGATATAAACATGAAGTCCAGTCTAGAATAACAAAATTCAGCAGTGGAAAGGAATATTAAACAGCGACATGCATCAACTAATACATTATTACAGATGTCAACTGTTGTACGCAGACAAAAATAATATAAAGTATTTGTAAAAGCATAAAAGCAAGAAGATGGCTTTGGACAAGATGGAAAGACAAGCTAAATTAGATGATGGCTAAATAAGATGTAGATCATTAGTTCCAATAACCAACGATCTCAATAAACCCATCATGCCAGAGTAAGTAAGTTAGTGATAAATTTTGTACTCCTAATTAAACTTTCTATATTTTGAACGTTCCATTTTGTTGTATTATGTTAGTACAATGATAAAGACAACCAAGATGTAAAGAAAAATGAAAGCCACAAAACATTTCTTTTTAATGTTTGTAAGGAAAACAACCTGGTGTATTGTGACTCATTTTTCTGGACTCTTCTCAAACATTTTTAAGAATATTGTTACAAACTTCTCTGTTATACAGTGTCATAATAGCTTATTTATCAAATATTGTTAAGTGTATTGTTACATATTTCTTTGTTATAATTTGTCACAATAATGTATTTATCATATATTTAAAGTGTATTGTTACACATTTCTTTGTTATACTCTGTCACAATAATGTATTTATCATATAATTTTAAGTGTATTGTTACACATTTCTTTGTTATATTGTATCATATTAATGTATTTATCAAATATTGTTAAGTGTATTGTTACACATTTCTTTGTTATATTGTATCATATTAATGTATTTATTAAATATTGTTAAGTGTATTGTTACACATTTCTTTGTTATATTGTATCATATTAATGTATTTATCAAATATTGTTAAGTGTAGTTGTTACACATTTCTTTGTGATACTATATCATAACAATATACTTCTCAAATGTCCCTTTCAAAAGAAATTATTTACAAGTTTCATTGCTCAAAGATAAACTAACTATTTATATTCAATCTATTTTTCACTGTATGTAGAACTCTTAATGAAAGCTTAAAGCTAAAATATTAAGCTACTAAAATAGTTATAAAACATTCCTTTGGAATTACCAGTTTTGATTTAGGTTATTGTATAAACGATTATATGCCACACACACACTTTACAACACATGTACCATTCAATTCAAATTTTAATAATTTTACATATTTTTGAATAATTACCACTTAACTTATAAATTATAGTATTTTGGGAATGAAGAAAAAAACAGATATAAAAATATTTGCTTAAAGTTCTTCAGGTAGCATTTCATCATGGCTAAACTGATATCAAACTCAAAAATTGTCATGAAATACCTAATAAACTAAAAAAAAATTGATCAAAATTAAGCACAACTCACTTTTATAAACATTTGAACTCTCGTCACATATACGCAACAGTGTGTGTTTTCAAGCTGAAACTATAATATGGTTGCTTCTTACACTGAGACTAGGTTTAAACAGAAACATATAGAAATGACGAAGGCAGCCTTACTGCAAGTGGGTGATCACTGCTTACATGTGTACAAGAATGTATGTGAATTATCAGGAAAAACTTCAGGCTTGTGTACAACACATTGTTAAGTTACATGTTTTAAAATAAACAGAAACCTGTTACATATGACAGTTAAAATTAATATATATATATATTGTGTATAATATTCTAGTAAAGAAACTTTCTGATGAAATATGAATGTCATTTAACAAAGTACAAATTAGATGTATGTCAACATAAAATGACTGAAGTTTTAACATCTTACAAAGTTTGATGCACATATTTAAACATGAGAATTTTTATTAGAAACTTTTCAACAACTTACGAATAAGGCATTTACAAATCATCCCTCAGGTTTTATAATTCCAGACAGATGCAGAAACCCTAATTTTTTACAACAATGATAAACATGGTCACATTTATTAAGTGATTGTATATTTATATCTAACTGTGGTTAATACAAATTTAATTCAGTTTTAATTTCAACCTTGTAAGCTAGATTTATAAATTACAAACATGAGTAATACAATTTATGCAAAGTGTAGCTGGTTTACATGAAAATGTTACAAATTAGGCTACTGAAAAAAAATCTCATTTGTTTGTATTTGATAAAGAAATGACAACTGGAAATATTTATCAAAAAACAAGGAACAATGTCTCATTTTCCTACACATAAAAATATTCTTTTAATAATGAATCTGTACTCTTCTTTTTGTTAACAAAGACTCCATGCTTGGCCTTCATGTGTTCTGAAATATGGTCAGGTCGGCGAAAAGTTCGTCCACACATAGGACAGTGTAATGAAGCTCTTTTGTGCTGAAACCTCTTGTGTCTTGTAAGTGCTGATCCAAAAGTAAACTGAGCATTACATACATCACATCTAAACTTGGCCTCTGCAAAAAATTAATGTTCATTTAACAATTTAAAATTTAGAAACTAAAAATAATTTTTTTGTAAATAATTAAAAACTTAAGAATGTTATTTCAATAAATGACACAAAACAAAGAATGTGTCAGAAATCTTCAGAAATACACAATCAGTAAATAAGTACTATCATACTGCATATAGAAAACTTAAAATTAAAACCAGGTTGGATCAGCCTTGTGTAAAGTACTTATTAAAAGCTCAATAAGATGATGTTAAACATTTCCATAATACTTTGAAAAACTGGAAAGACATAAATAGTATTATGGATTCTTCAACTGTTTTTTTTTCTACCAGAAGTTGTTATGCAAGGCCTAGTGACTTTAATAAAGTTGTTTTAAAATATTGTATAAATTTTAACTTTGTCTTATCGAGTTTTTAATAAAGACACAAAACATAATGAAATTTGTTCTGTATTTTATTATGGTTTATTTTACAACATGAAATACCTATAAACTTCACAACTAAAACCAGTAGTTTTTCAACAGCTATAAATGTAAGATTTATTTAATAAATTCATCTCAGGAAAGTTTGTACATACAGCACGACTGGTTCTTAGTATTTTCAGTATAAGTGTGAATTACTCCATCAGCACATAAAATAACACATAACGAGAAAAAACTTTGATACACATTTTTTAAATTATGATCAAAATCTTCAAATGAATAAAACAATACAAAAACTTAGCTTGTACTTTATAGCAAGGTTAGATGTACACAAAAACTATTACTTTATTTACAATATATTATACTTTCAATGGATATCAACATGCTACACGTATATAATTACTTGAACTATTACTATATTTACAATATCAATGGATATCAACATGCTACATGTATAGTATTACATGAACTATTACTATATTTGCAATCTATTAGAAACTTTCAATGGATATCAACATGCTACATGTATATCATTACAGGAATTATTACTTTATTTACAGTACATTTCACACTTTCAATTGATATTAGTATGCCAGATGTATAGTATTAAATTACAAAAAACTATTATTTATTTACAACAGATTAAAACCTTTACTGAATATCAATGTTAAAATAGACAGAAATGGTTTTTTCTTGTCTGTTTCTTTTGTTACCTTTACTTCAGACGAGTCATAAAAACATTTATTTTAAATATTCATACATGGAAAGTTTTCCTTTGTTTTAGATTTATAAGAATGGTGTGCTGTCCACATGTGTGTTGACAAATTGTCAGGTCGGCAAAAGGATTTTCCACAAAGTAGACAACCTTTTCTAGGAGCTCCATCATGCTTGTAACGTTTATGCCGATACAAACCAGATGCAAAAGCAAATTCAGAAAAGCAAATTGAACACTTGTATTTTTTACCTAAAAGAAAAAACAGAAAGCACTACAATTTGTGTGGTAAACAAAGTCATTTATGTCTGCTTAAATAAGTTCCATGAATTTCCTTTGTCATTAATAAAGAATCTTTCCAACATACTGCAAAACATACTCACTGAAAATGCATTTTTCAATTATCACACCAATAAAATATGATTTCTACATGTTGTATATTAGCAATGACAAAAAATGATGAATCAAGCAATGAAAACTTCTTTAAATATTAATACTGTTCATGTACCCAAGTGTTTAGAAGAGCAGCATTCTGAGAAAACATGTCCGCTCAAGTTGCAAGTTCAAATCTCTATGTAAATATAAAGATAAATAAAATTTAATCCCCCTCAAAGTAATTACAACAGCACTTTGAAGATCTTGTAATAAACACAATCTTTATTAATTAATTGCATACAGACCCAGCTGTAAGATTCAACATAGTTTTACTAACTTTTAGAATCAACCATAGAGAAACACATACACTCTGGACATCTGGTTGTAATACTTAACACAGTTTTACTACATTTTATAATCAACCATAAAGAAACACTTGCACACACTGGGCATCTGGTTGTAATACTTAGCATGGTTTTACTATATTTTATAATCAACCATAAAGAAACACTTGCACACTCTGGACATCTGGTTGTAAGACTTAGCATAGTTTTAGAATCAACCATAATGAAACCCTTATACACTCTAGGCATCTGGTTGTAAGACTTAGCATAGTTTTCGAATCAACCATAATGAAACCCTTATACACTCTAGGCATCTGGTTGTATGATTTAGCATAGTTTTACTAATATCAACCATAAAGAAAATGATATACCAAAATATATTTCTTGTGCTTCAGAATTAATCACTATTGTTTTAATTTTATTTGTCATAATAAAAAGATAATGATACATTAATTTTCTGATGAATTAATCTATTGGCTGATGATTCGCCATACAGGCCTCCGGCAGTTGAATGCAAGTATACCATATACAGTGTACAGCATGAAAAAATTTAGCATGTGTTTAGAGCAGCCACAATCAATGGGTTAAGTAGATAGAAGATGAAAAAATATAATTCATGAAAACGTCAATATAGTTCTGTTTGATGTTTTAGGGGACAATACTGAATTATAATCAAATGAGTTATATTACCTAACTTTATTATAAAGGATAAAAATATCAATGTTACTATTGACTGTTGGTTAATTATCCAAAGAATATGTGAATTGTAACCAACAGCTTCACCAACAAAATTTCTTGAAAATTTTGAACATTTTATCACTAAAGAAAATTACTTTATTTTTCACTTGCTGATGCACATGTAGTAAACATAATACAGTTTTGAAAAAAAAATCCTTGAAGATAACATTCAGATTAATAATAATATAAGGTTTTATAAAAATCAATAAAACAACACAAAAGTAATAAAAATATTGAGATAAAATGTCATGAAAGAAGAGTTTTTGTAAAACTAGGATACTGGACACTAAATATCATACAACACTACATATGACACTAGTTTCTTTATCTTATCATTACAAAATTCTGTGTTGCTTCTTTGAATTTATCTCAAACAACTAAAATAAAACTCCAATAAGATGGGCTTTTCAAATGTTTTAGTAAACCTAATGGTACTTAACAGAGGGTCTGGGTAAAAAGAGCTTAACATAAAATAAACTTCTATCTACATTATAAACGTGGTTACATTCAAGTAATCAAACCAATAAGCCATTAATTAGACAATGATCATGGAATTACTATCACATAATGACTCTTGGCTACTCTTTACTAATGAATAGTGGGATTAACAATCACATTACATTGCTCACACACCTGAAAAATCAGGCATATTCAGTCAACCATCAGACCATGCCAGGTCAATAATGGTTGTGTATCTGTTAACAGACTATGAATCTACTAATTAAACAGTAGTCATGTAATTGCTAACAGATTTTCTTTAAATCAGGTTTAATGCAATGTATTGAAGTAGGCTTAGCTATGAAATGTACTGTAAAATAACTCATCAAAAGAAGTAAAATTAATTTGCAACTTGATATATTTTTCATCTAAACACACAACCTTAGAATGATTTTGATCCCTATTTTACAATTACTTTAAATCATATAGTTTTGTAACTTACAGGTATAACATTTTATTCCAATTGAAACCTAGTAATTTTTTACTGTTCACAACCATAAATGTTATTTTTACTCATGTACAGGAATAATTAAGAGAAGTCTAAGAAACATGGTATTCAGTTATATACATTGTAAATTAGTAAGCTAAGCATTAATATACACTTCCTACCATATAATTTTCTACACATCTTTACATCCACACATAAAACAGTACAAAAAACCATAGCATAATAAACCCTCAAGCTTACTGCTGAGCCACCAAAGGAAGACTTTACAAGTCACCAAGCACAGATAAAAACACATAGATCAGTGTTCTAGGTAATGTTTTTCTATAAGGAGTATTCACTCCCAAAATTTTATCAGCAGGAGTAATTTTAAATTTTTTACAAAGTGCAGCAGTAACATTTTGTGATAAAAAGTAATTTAATTAATTAAAAATTATTCAAAAGGTGAAATTTGGCACAGGATTAATTTAGGAAATTAAATCTCCAGATGTTGTCATCATAAACACAAATAATGACATTACAACTTTCTATTTTATTTTCTACAACAAATTAGATCATTCATGAATGCAGAAAAAATCTGGTAGTTAGAGAGTGCTAAGTTTTGCAGCTCTACTGTATGAACTGTACAGATCTTGAGCAGAACTGCAGAAAGCTACAAGAATGTGTCCATTAATTATTGTACTACTGCTAAAGTTGCAGGAGCTGTATTCATTTTCCCACAAGCAGTAAAACAGCTTCTCAATATTTTTTAAGGCCACAATAGCTAATTTTTGGTCAGGAATTACTCAAATACACCCCTTATCTGGAGAACTTATAGATATTAAAATACATCAAACAAATATTAATACAGAGATACTAAAGTATATCAAAACATAGACCTTTCAGAAACAGACACGAGTGCATTAGGTCATTCATACAAAATCATTTATCAACGTATGATATATTACATAAAAGAATGTATGCACAGGTATAAAATGTTTTAAACAGACACACACACACAGAAATACCTTAAAATGCATATACAAATATACAGGTGTACATAAATATATGTGTACAAGTTTTAAATACTACAAACATCAACTTATATGTAAACATACTTAAACACACATCATATCTTTTTTCTTATTATGTGGTAAAATATTAGCAACAGATTCTTCAGGCAAAAACTGATATCTTAACTTCTCGTTTTGTGAAATATATCTTTGTAAATACTGATTTATCACCACCCTTCTTTCTTAAACAATTTCTTTGTTCTATTTTTGTAAGTATGTTAAGAGTAGTATAACTCAGTGACATGTGAGGAACTAAACATTAGATTCCACTTCAAATTTATTTCTAGTATTTCAAACTTGGCCATTAATATAACAGTGTGAAGCCCATACTGGTCTCAAGCCCAGATGAGGGTTGGAATAGAGTAAACAACTGTATTCTGTAAAAGCCTTATTTGTTAATGAATCTCAAATGGAACCTCAGATTGCTGGACCTGTTGCTGATGAAACTTTTGCTACATGAAGTTTCCACGGAGCTGGCTATGCAAAGAACTTGGTGGTGATGATGATCAACAAATATAAGGAAGATATTTTAGCCCTGCAAGAAATCAGATAGGTGGATTCTGGACGTTGGCAACAACACAATTCTTTATAGTGGCAGAATAGATGGACTTCATCACAATAGAGTTGGGTTTTATATATCAAACATAATACCTGGGAATAACTGAAAGAATTTGCAGATATCAGCAAAAGACGGAGGGACCATTCCATGGGTAGAACATGGTCTCGTCAAGAAAGATGTTCTGTGAAAACGTTCAGTGTACCTGGAACATGACAGGCTGTTAAACTTACTGACTGGAATGGGCCCATAAGAAGAGGTTCAATGTCTAAAAGCAGAAGGTCCTGGACTAGGTGCCTCCATTGACAGTTGATACGAGACACATCTGTGAAATTTTCCTAGTGGATCATCACCTAATGATTAACAAGGAGAAGAAAATGAGAGTATGCCCAACAGACAGTGAGCAATTTGAGAGCATTTACATGTAGCAAATTCTCTTCCAGGGTTCAAAGACAGTCATTCAGTGATAATCCCCATCCAGAGAGAGAGAAGCATCCATGAAAAGGTGAAAGTCCAGTTTGGGAGGAGGTAAAGGAATGCAAGAGGTGATATTGGAACAGTCTAGCTACCAAACAAAGTTCCTTCAGTAGAGAAGGAAGGGAGGAGGACTGGTGAGGAGACATGTGTGGCCAAGTGGAATAAGGATTTCAAGAGAAGCCATGGTCACCTGAACAGATAGAACCTCTCTCACAAAATGTGAAAGTGAGGTGCTAACGGTGGTGACCAGATGCTCGAGTTCCTGTAAACAAACTGTAGAAAGTTGAATACAGCTGAGGTGAGAGTTGAAAAGAACCCCCAGATGGATGAGATATTGGGTAGTTGTATGTAAGTACATCAAAATTTTGACAAGCCACCCTGAATGAGTGGCTTTGTGATGAAAAAGGGAAGTTTGTTCAGAGGATTCCATGTGGGAATGGGTGAGGAGAAGCCAGTTATCCATGTAGAAATGGAATCACAGACCCAAGCTTCAGCTTGTGATTCAAGAGAATTGGGGATGCCACCAAAAACCTCAGAATGAAGAAAAAGGGCAAAATGAAGGTCCTGGAAGAAGGAAGACAGACTTAAGAAAGTAGGGTATCTCTTCCCAAAAGTTCCCAACAACAATGGAACTAAGTGAAAAAAAAAAGAAGCAGAGGAGGTGAAATGAGATAAAGTAATGTGAAGTTTGAGTGACCATACCCAAGAACATAAGAATCAGTCAGGCAAGTGGGACAAGGCGTAAGGTTGAAGGAACAAAGTAAATCTAGGAAGGAATTGGCGTGTATAGCAATGTCAGGGAATGTCATAAATACAAAGGGGAAGGGTTGTGTAATAAATCAACGGAAGAGTCAAAGGATATGGAAAAAAAGAGAGTGAAAACTGTACATCCAAGGAAGACTGAGAATGTTCCTCAGTAGGTACGGATATTTCCAATACAAAACCTGGAGACAGGAAAAGGTACTCAACTTCATTCTTCTCAACTTCACGCTTGAAAGAATGGGAAGTAAGTGGAAGGGATTGAAGCAGAGAGTCCTGGCTGCATCACAGACCCACACACACACATTAGACAATAGCTGTCATGTCTTCCATAGATAAAGAACTTCCCACCAAATTATTGGTATTTTGTTCAGGGTGAAAAATATCTTTACTCACATCAGCATATGAAGAGTTCACACTGAGCTGTGAGTTGATCTTGAGTAAGATAAAACTCAATCAAGTGAAAGTTGAAAAGTCACAAATCTAAGCAAATTCAAAACACACCTGTTCATGGCATTGCTGAGGAAAAGAATGAGGATTCATGAGTGCAACAGAATTAATTAGATTAAATGCATCAACAAACACAAAATCACTACCACATTTGCCTACGTACCTTTACGAGTTCACACCAATCAGCATAATGGTACTACCAGTATGAGTTCACACATAAATCAGCATAACAGAACTACCAGTACTCGTTCACACACAAAAACAGAACAGCATCACAGAGATACCAGTATGAGTATGCACAAAAAATATAACAAGTAAACAATTCTAATACATAATAATACTTTGTATAGTATATTAATTTATTGTTACTTTCATTAACAGTATTAGTTATATGAAATACCACTACTTTGTGATTACTTTTGTATTTTTATACATTTATTATAAAAACTGTTTTGCACTTTATTTTAAGTTATGTATTTATGACTAATCTATACCTACTAAAATGAATGAATATGAAAAATATTAATGGGATTACAGGCAAAAATATTGAAAAAAGTGAAGATACCCAACTGATGAGACAGGCATTCTAAATCCAAACACACAGTAGTGTGTCTTGCGGCCAGAAAAACAACCTGCAGGACAAACTGTGTGTTATTAACAGAAGTGATAGTCCACCTTCTGTAGCTCAGACTTTGATAATCTAAACTATCACATATTTTATGTGGATGTGCTCTACTTGAATATTACTTCACATATCAAATTTCAAGGCAATCCATTAAGAAATACTTGAGATATAACATCTCCAATTTTGATTGAGTTTCTTTCTATTTATATTTTCTTCTCACCAAAAGTACAGAAACTTTATTTGATAGAAAAACATACTTAACTTTTATGGATTTTTTTCAAATTTGGTACACTGATAGATCTTTACAACCTACAATTAGGAGTCTCATTTGGTGTAAATATAAGCCACATGTGCAAAGTTATTCAACAAACAAAATACATACTTAATGCAAATGTTTGCACTTGCCTATGCAAGAATTCATGTGAGCTATCAATTTAATATTTTTATAACTGCTTCATCTAAGAGTAAATAAAAGTGAACCCTTTTTTAGTTTTTTTGTCACTCAGATTAAAGACAGTTGACTTAGAGCAGCAAAACTATAAGGTGAAAGGATGTGCAGATACACAAGTATTGGTTAGGCCAATCAAACTAGATTAGAAGTTTCTAGCTCAAGTTTTCAAAAAATTTTTACAGGTAGACAGTTATTATCAATTATTCATTGCCAACTTTTAAGCACAAATTTACCAAATTTTATTAAATTATCCTAATTAAAAAGCATTTAGCATCACGTGGTATCAGATTAAGCAATTAGCATAAATAATAATGCTTGATATGGCTGTACTGATTGCATGGGGGTGATGACAAGAAACTGTTAATCTAAATTCCATGGCTTTAGTATAAAGAAGCTATTGAGAATGTTTTAGAGTGGAAAAACTATCATCATATATTTAAAAAGCAATGAAATCAAAATTGGTGGCCAAACTGGTAGCTACACTTATAGCATTGATAAGAATATTACAGCAAATATTCATTCATTAGTTAGCTAGGCCACACATTTTTTTTACCCACCATCATGCCCAAAGTTGAACAAAAAATGTTGCCTAGCTAGCTAACTAATGGATATTTGCTGTAAAATTCTTATCAATGCTATAAGTGTAGCTACCAGTTTAGCTGCCAATTTTGATTTCATTCCTTTAAGTTGCACACTGAACCCTTTTTTGGCTGCACCTTTTTTCACACCTAAGATATTTTTGATTAGATTTTATATACAGAAACATAGGAGAAGTACATTTACTTTGCTGTATTGATGGACAATTTGATTTTGAGTTTTCCTCTAAGTAAATACCTTAATCTGATTGGAAGTTATTATTAATCACACATATATGCATTCACCACAACCACTTTATTTTATAACACTACAGTACAGGAAACTTGACATTTTTAATACATATATCTAAACATTTACCAAAACTACTTTAAACTACAGCACTACAGTAAAGAAAACTTGGAATCTTTAATACACAGTGCTTTTATTCTGGAAAATTGGTTCAGGAACTGTCCTGTATTTTCTACAACCAAAAAGGTTCAGGAACTGTCCTGTATTTTCTACAACCAAAAAGGTTCAGGAACTGTCCTGTATTTTCTACAACCAAAAAGGTTTAGGAACTGTCCTGTATTTTCTACAACCAAAAAGGTTTAGGAACTGTCCTGT